AAGTTGTTGTTTAACTATGCTATTTATTGTAAATGATATTAAATAAATCCAACGATAAACAAAGAGTCAATACGTTATGATTTATCATACTAAGCTTAATTCAAATAGCGCAAAATAAGCACTAAATCTCGTTTAAGCTTACAATTTGATGTAATAATTTCGGTGTTTTGTATTCAGCATATCAATAACAAACAAATACAATTCTATAAACACTTAACGGTTTAAAAATGCGAAATATATTATTTAACTTATTAACAATTTAATTTAACTATGGCCCGACGTTTTGGATGCTTCGCAGAAGCTGTAGTCACGGACGGGACTAATATATTTCGCGATGTAAACAGTTAAAGGCGTTTTTTTAAACGTGTACTACTCGCGCAATCTACCGGCAATACTTGTTGCAATTTTATAACAATAAAATTATATCTTATTACGACTCATGCTGCCAAATATGGTTGATAAATACTAAAATACTAAGTTTTAATAAATTCTAGTTTTTATTAAAAGCTTAGTATGTGATAGGTTAGTTATGATTAAAATAATTAAATATCTAATTTTAACAAAAAATCTGAAAACGTTAAACAGGATACATTTTAAATAAACTTAGTTTAACAAAAGTTTTAGCCCATGATAAATTGTAAATATAGCTGTATAAATATTCCCTGTTTGAGTAATTTGGATTCTGTTGTAGAAATCAAATTAATTTAACTGACGATATATTTGTTTATTTGATGGTATACAAAAATGGAGTTTTACTTTTATTAAGAGTCAGAATTAGTTTTACACAGATACATATTTAGACAGATTATTTTTAAAAAAACAGAGCAAACTTTAATTAATAAAGAATGAATAAAAGATATTTAATCCAAGCCAGCTCGTCGGAGTTATGAAGTAAAACCAATACAAAATATGCTTTAGCTTTTAAGTATTATGCAAATGTATGAAAAGCGTAATGTAAGAGACGGGCTTATGAATATTCAAAAGGTCTTCGTAACAAAAGTTACATTTTTCTTAAGCCAATTAGGTGTTTAGTAGATGATGAATGAAGTCTCAAAGCGGCTTTAGTCGCAGTTGCGTTACCACAAAACCAAAACAAATACTAGTGGGTCATAACCCAATTATGTATTAAATAAAGTGCTTTGAGATGCTAAATACACGAATTATACTTTTCAATTAATAATTTTACCCGCCACGATGAATCTGATATATGACACCAACTGTGCTGGTAGCGGTGGTATAAATATCTATCCATAGATTAAAAAGCCAGAAGCTGATCAATCCACAGACTGAGAAAAGCGTTTAGTTTTCAGACTGGGGTATTTTACCTGCCATCAAGAGGACTCCATGCTTGTCTGTTCTCTTCTGTTATAAATAAGCCTGCTTAAGCCTCAGTAGCTCTTGGTACACAGCTAGTGGAACGGCAGTTCTGTGCAAAACTAATATTTTTCACATTTACTTGCACATGATGGCATTTTTTCACATACCTATTATACATTGCGACGATGACGTGTAAGACTCGATAGCTCAATTGGTTAGAGCAACAGCACGGAACGCTGTAGATGCCGGTTCAAGGCCTGCGTTTTTTTTTTCAAATTTATAATCGATTTTAACTCTTAAATATTCTTCGCTTCTACGTCTATTCTGAGAAGAGAGTAAAAATAAGTACAAAATATACGTGCAACAATTGTTGTGACGTAGCTTAGAGGAAATAAGCACAGGATTACAATTCTGTCGAGGTATCTATGTAGTGACTGTTAGCATAATATTCTAAGCTCTGAACATTGATAACAATAGGTTCAGCTTACATTCAGATGGTTGTGAATAAATTAATCATATATCTCCATTTTATTCATGTATGCGCATAGTCATGTTTCCTAGAGTTTGCTTAAAGTAGATCACGCGTTATTGTTGTGATTTTATAACCGTTGGGGTGTTTGTGTTTATATTTTTACACATAATATACAATAATCTTTCAATAAAGTAATTTCATAGGTTCAAAACGCGAATGTATTTAGTTGTTCACAAAGGTACAATTTGCGTGAAGGCATTTTTAAATGTTGGGCCGCAGTAAAAAAAAGGTTGACTAAAACTTTTAGTTTTTTTTTAAATGTTTGGTTTAAAACTCACTCACACAACTCACGTTAGCGGAAATTATAAATTTGACTTTTTACGACGGATAATAGTTTTGCCATATGACATTTATTATAAAATACTTACGTTACTTTTTATTAATCTCATTTTAAGGCGAAATATATAATTTAAAATTATTTAACTACACCGGATGTTACCGGTGCTTTGCAGTAGCCGTGGTCACGGGGAGACTAAAGATGGAGGGAGAAATATAAATTGAAATAATTAAACATTTCAAATCTTCCTGTTAAGTAGGGCTTAACAATTTTCTTTATTTTCTTTCACGTTCTAAATATGTAACATCAAAACCATGTTTTCTTTACATAATATTAGTTAAATAACTTGAGAGGTTATTTGAAGTAGTTAGCTGTCTGAAAAGCATTCCTCTCTGAATAATATAGTAAAACTGACGCAGCATGAGGTCCATTTACACTGATTGGAATCAAGGATTGAAATAGTTTCCCAACTTACTTAATGTAATACTGAGGTTGTCAAATAAACGAAGAGTTTTGAGATGAGAAAGTTTTTCAATTAAAAGATGATTATTAGACGATAATAAGCAGTCTCGACGAGGTCTCAATTTATTATACACTATTATATTTAAATAATTAAAGTGAGAAAATGATATTGATTCGAGTTCTCAGACAACGTAGATATCTGTTTGAATAGACGAAGTTAGTGCTATTTATATTCACAATTTATTACTTAATGTAATTTGATATATATTTATATACTGTCTGTAGTTTACGCGAGTATATACATTCGAAATAAAACACTTCAACGATTTCAAACGCAAAACATCTTAATTCAACTTATTTACAAATTATTTTAACGTCACGGGTCACGGGGAAACGGGGATGTGGGGCCGTACCACATCCCCGTCTCTGCACAACGGCAGCCGAGAGCATTCAACATGCATTTAGCATTTCAAAATTGTAAGTATATTTATATAAAAAAATTAAAATGATGTCATGATATAATACGCGATATTAAACTTTTAACGAGCTTTAAAAAAGGAGGTTCTTATTTTGATTTGTATATTTGCTTTTTGATTATATGTATTTACTTTTGGCAGTTTGAAATAAACATAACAACCTATACTAGGAAGGATGTGGTGGAGTAAAAGTGAATTTCGCATTTAATCTATTAGATGTTTGTTTAAACACCCTAATTTCAGGAACTACTGGTTGGTATTACATAAATATTCAGTGATGGACTTTTATCACGGAAGACTTAAGGATAAAAAATCAGGCCGCGACCAATAGGAAAAAAACAGGGGAATCGTTGAGAAAGAAATATTTAACTTTAACGGTGTACGTTCAGTGCGCTGCGACAGCCTCTTTACGTTTCTTCTCTGCATGGTCTAAAAATAGACTACGACAATATGTCTATCTTTTAACATTAACTTGCAAGAACAACGAAACGTAGGTGACGTCGTAGGTAAAAGCTACGACTTAAAAAGCTGAGGAGGTCGATTGCAGAAACAAATAATATAATGCGCAAAATAACTATTCCACGCATAATGACGGGCACAGCTAGTATATTATTACAATGAATATTGTGCCTTCCTCGGGCAGTTTCAGACGCCGGTTGTCTTAACACATAGATTAACAATTTAGAGAGGCAAAATATGCAAATAGATATAAACCACACAGAGAATTCCTCTTTGGGGAACCGCTTTTCGTGTACATTTGCCTCTGTGGCTAACTACTCTACGGTGAAGTTTTGTGAAACTAACGTCCAACTCCATTGTGATCTTACATACGAAGTTGAATATTCTAATCTTCTTGTAATTATGTTATCATTTTGAATATGCCTTTTAGTTGAATAAACTATTCTTAGAGCAAGAATGAAAAGGAAGTTTTTTTTTTATAATTTGTAATTAAAACCTTTATATTTTCAAGGGGCACTAAATAGGGGTAATACATTTTTCTTAAAAATTGGACTTCGTCTAGAAATCTAGATATTATAGGGTGGTCGACAGATAAAAAAGCCGTCAAGTTTAATCGCGTTTCGGTTTTAGACTGTGGTTTTCCGAATATCCAAAGCCATAAAAGGGCGACAGCGCATTTTGTTTAGATGTTAGACTAGGGTATTTTACCTACCCTCGAGTGAGTTTCATGCTTGTCTGTACGTGTAGAAATCCAAAGACGAAGCTCTGTGGATTTCTACAAGTTTTTATTATATTAAATACGAAATTTGGTTCAAAATAGCAGGCAAATCAAATGTTACCAAACTAAAGAACAAGAAGTTGCTTTTCCTCTACTTTTGCCGTAAATATTGAATTCGTCGAGCCGACTCAAGAACTTCTTCTCGCAATTGTTCACCAATTTAGTCAAAACAAATCTTGCTTTTGTTTATGAATATTAAACAGCTCTCCCCTTTTAATAAAAAGATTCAAACTTACTCAGTCGCTCTTGAGAATTTTAATTTTATAATCTGAAGCAGATTATAATATTCTAATAATAGGTCTGAGAAAAAAAAAACATACTCCATTTTTTTAAACTAGTTAAAAAAATATTTACGTTGATCTTGAAACTTAAAAACCGAAACAATCTGTTTCTCCTAGATTAAAACCTAGGACCTCTATAGTTATTGTAAAGCTAGGCAACACAGAATAACAGAGGAATTAAAAATGTATTATAACGTTTGCGGATTATCATACTATAGTTGTTATGTTATACTATAGTTTGCGCGAGGAGTACAGATTTAAATAAAACACTTTTAACGGTTTAGATCGAGAAAGGTATTAGTCAAAATTGTCTATCAACAGTTCTCACTTTGCCTTGCTTTGTAGTTTAAATGTGATATATAATACATTCGCGATTTTCATACCTATTTATTATCGTTTGTGTTGAATAAGGCCATTTCTAGGAGGCTACGGCACGATTAGTACTCGTTAAGGGCATAGCGCTTGTTTTCTCTGTTCTAGAAAAGTTTAATTTGAAGGCACATTCTGGAATTGAACAAAGACCGCACTGGATAGAGCCACGGGCTCCGCCGTAATTAGAGCTCAAACCTGCTGGGAAGAGCTGCCGGCTTCCGTACGCTCTCATTTTGACGTTGGCACTCGATTTGTGCCAAACACGAAATACTGTAATACTCCTGTGCTTATCATCGTCAGCGGTCAAAGGATAAACTTCCAGAGATAACCCTTTCGAATTGTATTCAATGTTAGATAAAACACTTTAACTGTTTAAAACGCGAAATATATTCGTTAAACGTATTTACAATCGGATGCTTTGCTGTTAATATTTCGCGTTTTAAACGGGTAAAGTCTTTTATTTAAATGTATTACAATAATAAAAAAGATAGTATTCAATGTACAGTACAGTAAAATTCAGTATTCAATGTTAGATTGAGGACCTATTGAAAAACAATACTCTGTATTCTAGGAAATGCAAATTACCTACTGCCATTCTGCATTATATTTACTAACCAAATTGAGTTACTATGCCTACACGTAATCTTAGAATTTTTTAAACTAATATAGTATAACATGTGAAAAATATTAAAGTTTAGTTACTCTGTCAATCGGATCACATCAATAATATCGAACAAGCAGTGAACTTATTTCGTAATGAACTAATAACGTAATCCTTTTTCCATTACAAATATGAATTTATTTGCCTCTACAAAGCAAGTTGAAAGTCGCATTTTTACACGCGCTACAAAATATTTTATAACCAGGTGCTGGTGCGGGATTCTTTAGATAATCTGTCACTTGATTCTTGTAACAGAAGCAAAGCTATTATTTAAAGTGCTTTACTTTGTTCTTTAGTTTTCCTCAAAGTCAGTTTCATATTATTTCAATCCATTCGTCGTTGTCATTATGATGTTGAAAACTTTGTTCGAATAACAAATAGAAGCGTCATTCAGGATTACTTTTCGAGATGAAAGAATTTATGGCAGAACCGAATTATATTTTGATGGGCTGGGTGGTCTAAATATAAGTATGGGGTACTAATCAATTGGTCGTGGGCTCGATTCCCGCTGGGTCCAACTGAAAGCAAAAGTGAAGTGTCCTCTGGAAAATTTGAATGTTTTTTGAATGGTAGGAATATCGAAATTCCGTCCAGATGACGAATCATGGATTACACTTGAAAAAGCCGTGAAATTACAGTTTAAGTCCGTGGATTTCCGAACGTCCAAAAAATTTGAAAAATTATATATATTTTTTAAATAAAACACTTTAACGGTTTAAAACGCGATATATTAGTTAAACTTATTTGAAAAAATATTTTTAACTTCGGCCCAGTGACGTCTCCGGGTGAGTCTCCCCGTGACCACGGCTACAAAGCATCCGAAACGTCGGGCCGAAGTTAAAAATCATTTTTCAAATAAGTTTAACTAATATATCGCGTTTTAAACCGTTAAGTGTTTTATTTAAATGTGTACTACTCGCGTAAACTATAGACAGTATTTAAAATATATACCCTTCAATGATTCGCAGAAGCGACAATAATAAGAAACAAATTCTTTGCAACTTGCTTTGGCAACATGTTTCTTTTTTTTATTAAAAAAAGAAACATGTTGCCGCTTTCTCTCAATATAATAAACGAATAGCTGTTAAAGCTAGTTTCAAGCTTGAAATTACATTAAAAGCTATCCCAAATTATTAGAATCACGACACACAACAACACCATTTTCCTAGAAGCTTCTTGCTTTGAGTTTACAGAGCTGTGAAATGGTATTTAATGTCAGTTTAGTTTACGATTTAAATTATTATATTGGATTATATTTATATTCTAGTTGAAACTATAAATTCATTATTGGACACGAATTTCGTCTACTCTTAAGTGAGGGCTTAAGAGTTTACACCAGCGTTCTAGTGCGGGTTGTGCGGGCTTAACAACAACCATCACTATATTAAAATATCCCAACCGTCAGCTTAACGTGCCCTTGAATGACCTTCCAAACTCGAAACTCTTACTAGATATCTCCTTAGAGAACAATAAAATACTAACAAAGAATCACGCGAATTTGAACCTCGGACTCGTTAATCCAGTGTGCCACTATACCAACGAGAGAGCAGCATTTTAATATATAAATAAGCAATTCTAGCTTTACATTATTCAGGCCAGCCGACAGTTCGGTAAACTCATAAAGAATTTATAACCTTGCGAATTGTGCGCGCTTAAGTAAATATATCACTTGGAATCAGCCGATAAAAGAATGTCTAAACAAAATGTGTATGTTTTCATTTTCTTGTATTTTCGCGCGCTTTCTGAATGAGTTTTTATACGCACTATATGCCGGAAAAAGTTGAAATATGATTGGGGTGTAAAGAACAGAATTAAATACAAAGATTTTTTATTGCAAACACGAGACACTCACTGTTGAGCAATTTGAGATTTTCTGTTGTTTATTGCTGTCAATGCTAAAAAAGTCTATGTTACAAATATATCTATATATAATCGTTCATTACATGTAATTATTGGTATCAAACTACTGCAAAATGGCAACTACAACGATAAATAAATGTTGTGATCATATTCTTCGATATTTTACTTGATTTAATTATGATTTGATAAACATACAATTTAAAAATTTCTATCGCCTTTGCGAACGAGCTTTGTGGAAGAACTATTCGGATCTAAATAAAATTTATTAGCGAAACATTTGCACCAATAAAACTGTCTTTTGCCCCTCAAATAACCTTGTGTAAAATTAATTTAAAATTATTCCTCTATTTTTTATTACTAATTTGTTCCTTCCACCACATGATTTCACGATGGTATATGATTAATTTTTTTTAAAGACAAATATACATGGAAATATTACTGTGAAATAATGTAAATATTTCGCAAACGTTTGTCGGACCAGCCCAAAAGCATATCACGAATCTCATTTCAGTACTGAAATATCAAAACCAGACCTACATAGGCTTCAATAGTAATGAATCCAGCCAAGTTTTAATTGGGGTTTATTGTCATCGGTCACAATTAACAATTCTATAGCCATTATCGGCATTACAGGCTTGGTTAATGGTGAATTGTGTCTAAACGATGACTCGCTTTGAACGCAACCACAATTCATAACCTCTTATTGCACAAAGGCATTCTAAGCTGACATCAGCATATAGGACTTAATTGTACCTAATATTTGGTACAGATGACGTATATCGGTTCATGGATTCGGCCGGCCAGACCAAGCCGAAAATTGGGCAAAGTCCTAGAAAAACCTAAATTGCAAAAAACATTAACTAAAGCAGTATTTTGTCTCCTATCACATACTATTATTCTAATATTCAGACATTTTGTTAAAGATTTTATGTTAACTATTTCCTTTATCTATACTCTATACTAATATATAAAGCTGAGTTTGTTTATTTGTATGTTTAGTTTGACCGCGCTAATCTCAGAAACTACGGGTTCGAATTGAAAAGTTAGTTTTTTGTTAATTAAGGCATATATCGAGGAAGGCTATAATAAAAAAAAGATTAAAATACTTTTTTAAGTTAAACGGTTTTATGTTAAACATATATTACATTGCAATGTTTAAAAAAAATGTACAAAAAAACCAAAAAATAATAAAATAGATAGAGATCTTGTGGGAATTAATTCGAAAATTTGCATAGACAATTGACTAAAGTGCCACACGGTTTAATTTTAGTCAAGCTCTATGAATTGTTTATAATTCCCACGACTGTATCTATTTCATTATTTTTTGTTTATAGTACATTAATCGTTTTAAACATTGCAATGTACGTTAGGCATACAACCGTTTAACTTAGAACGTTTTTGACTATTTTGATTTTCTAGTTTTTTAGTTTCTATTCGCATTCTGTTTAATTCATTAAGTGTTTGAAAGAACTTCTCTGGTCATAACAGACCTTTCATATGATACTCCATGTTGACTGAGATTGATAAAACCTAAGACGCCATTTTGTAACGACCGCTTCTCGTTTATGGTTTATATAGATACATTGAATTCCACTGGTTTACAAAAAAATATTTATAGACGAATATTCCTCTTTTAAATTACCCGGAACAATGTCCGCATACGTGACATATATTTATATTTTTAAGATTAATGCAATACCTATCAGTACCCTAACGACCAAGTATTAGTAGTGTTTGAATTTACACACTTGAATTTATGCATATGCGCTGTCGCCCTATTTCTGAATTTCGAAATCTAGACTGCAACCGATACTAGAGTACATAGGTCTAATCAATATTTCACAAATTCGTTTAAAAGTAAATGTTTTGTCGAAAGATTGTTTAGAAAAAAGTACCAAAAGATAACAGCCAAGTGGCATCAAACACTGGTTGTCGGTTGGCTTCTTAAATGCAATAATAACTAATAAATATATTGAATTATATTGACCCACATTAGCCTCACACGTAATATAACTGAGCTAACTAACTTTATAAATAAGCCAGTCATCAAGAACCTAGCTTAATCATTCTGCAACCTCATCTAACGCTAGCTTAAAAATACTCCTTACAAACTTGGCCACCCGCCTAATACCTATTTGGCGCAAATTTGCGTCATCATTTTGAGACCGTTGCGACCAATTTACGATGTACTGCAATATTTATGATCTTAACTCCTCGGATCTTGGAGTTTAAATGCACTTTGTGATATGAATTGCAAATAGTTAGAGCTGTGTGTTTGAATACAGATTCGATTTACAGTACTCATGCTTAGAAAATTTCTTCATTTAAACTTCAGGCGTTATAAATTCATATTATGAAAGTACTTAATTTGAGCTTTATCTAAAGACTAGCTAGAGTCAGCGACTACGTCCACGTAGAATAGTTTAATTTGGGCATTAAGTTTGTTTTGAAAACTTCCTGTTCGAATCTATAAATTTAAGCTTTTAAATAAAACACTTTAACGGTTTAAAACGCGATATATTAGTTAAACTTATTTGAAAATGATTTTTAACTTCGGCCCGACGTTTCGGATGCTTTGCAGCAGCCGTGGTCACGGGGAGACGTGTCTCCGAAGTTAAAAATCATTTTTCAAATAAGTTTAACTAATATATCGCGTTTTAAACCGTTAAAGTGTTTTATTTAAATGTGTACTACTCGCGTAAACTATAGACAGTATTAAATTTAAGCTTTTTCCCACGATTACATCCGCGCGTACTTACAAGTTTATCTTAAAATATAGACATACACTGCCGCGATTTTATTTAGATTATTTAAAGAGAAATCATTCTTTCTTACATATTTTTTGGGTTTCATGAACCGTTTTCGCAGCGTACGCAACGGAAACGCACAAGCATAAATGATTTCTCCCGTTTTTTTTCACATTCCCCGTTGTTTCTTTGCTCCTATTGGTCACAGTGCGATGTTTTATGCGACAAATAGATTATTAAATGGTCTAACCATCACAAAAGGAATTTTTCAATCCAAACCTGTAGTTCCTGAGATTAGCGCGTTCAAACAAACAAACTCTTTAGCTT